GTTTCTGCTCCACAACACACTCATTGCCCCAAGCTGATTACTTTAAGGTGCACCTGTTTGATCCAGTGCTGCAGGCTCAAGGTGGCTTCTGTACAACTAAGCCCACCCACACAGGTGACTTAAATATTTTAGTGGCCCCCTGTTACCTGCTTTTGCCGGGTGATCAAATCCCAGTCATCTACAAGCCATGGTTTGAGCTCCTCTGGTATTTTCACCTTCACTTCAACTCTGTTCATAAAAGTTTCTTCCTGAATAATCAAGGATGCAAGAAATAAGACTCACATGTAGACATTGCAGGTTTCAGAGAGTTTATCCTTGGTTCCTGGACTCCGAAAATGAGGCACACAATCCAGGAGGGCCCCCATGATCCTATACACAGAGGCACTAGAGGACACAAATGTCAGGCCCCTGGACAAAGTTACTCTCAACAACACTCTCTGGCAGTGATTTGTTTATTGAGAAGTAAAGATATTTCCAAGCTAAGACAGGTGCTGTGTCAGAACTGAGGTTCTGGTGGGAAAACCAAACAATACAGACTGTTTAAACAAGGCCCCCCTTTCAGTCTCATCCAATCACACTCTGCAATCATCCCACCTAGCTTTTGTGTGCTCTACACACCTACCTGTGAATCTACCACTACGTTATCTCAGACAGCGAGGCAAGCCACTGTGTGACAGAGTGTTGGACTAGATGGGCCATTGGCCTGATCCAACATTGGCTTCTCTTAGGTTCTTAAGCACAGACACTGACCAAGGTCATCTCTAAAAAGGGAGGCAACTTGAGAAGAGGTACATCGCCACTACAACAGAGCCACTCTCACACTCACCCCCCCCCCGCAGGCCTCAACTCCCCAGAAATATGGCATCAGAGAGTCCGAGTTTGACAACAAACCCCTTAGTCACAGTACTGGAAACCACTGCCTGTTTGGCAGATCTCCAAGAAATTCAGCAGAGGGTAGCATCAACAGGCCTTGCAAGCTGTCAGGCAACAGGAGAGGCATACAGCTCCATAACCAAAGCAGCACCAACTGCTGAACTTGGGCCTTTGGGAAGGATAAAGGTGAAATGACGTACTTCCTGTGGCTTCCAGCCCCATCTTCAGCTGCCTGCTTTCTACCAACCAAGCCAAACAATCACGGCTTAAAGCAGTGGGCTGGGGACCTCTAGGTGTGTGTGTGTGTGTGTGTGTCGCAGAGTTGCAGCAAGAGGTGCATGAATTCGTCCAGGCTGGGTGTGTTTTTGCCTTCCCCTACCGGTGCCTCTCCTCCCCGGGGCTTGCCTCTACGGCCGCCATGCCCCTCCAACTATGTGTTGGGCCAGCTGGGCTTCATCTACCAGCCTGTTTGCCACAAGATGACTTTTTAAAATTTAGAATATTTCCCTGTCACCTCTCCAGAGTCCTGCTCGAGGCAGCTTACAATTAAGAACCACGATATTAAAACAGGAGGAGCCAGCCACTCGAAAGCTGGTAAGATAAAACCCCTAATTAAAAGCCTGCATAAAAGAAAACAGAGCAGGCGCCAGGCAAGCCTCAAGGGGGAGGGGCATCCCGAAGGGCAGCGTGATGAAGTGGTTAAGAGCTCTGGACTCTGATGTGGAGAAGCGAGCTTGATTCCCCCCCCCCCCCGTGAAGCTTGCTCGGTCGCCTTGGGACAGCCACAGTTCTCTCTCTCTCTCAGCCCCACCTACCTCACAAGGGGAGAGGAAAAGAAGGCAATTGTAAGCTGCTCTAAGACTCCTTAAGGTAGAGAAAAGCAGGGTATAAAGACCAACTCTTCTTCCTCCTCTTCAAAGGTTAAAGCCACCAAAGAAAATGCCCCGTCTCTACTTGCTGCACCTCCCCAACTGGGCCCACCTGCTCAGAGACCCTTCCAGGCTGAGGACATGGGGTCAGTCTCAACCAGAGCGTCCCCCCGCCCCATGGTTCACCAGCCCAGTCAGGGCTTCTTGCTTACTCATGAGAGAAGGGCCATCGCTAAAGCCCAGGCGGGGCAGGAGCAGCCGGCTATCCCTTGATCAGAATTCTCTCCGCAAGGAACATTTTTATAGCACTTCCATAAGAACATAAGAGAAGCCATGCTGGATCAGGCAGATGGGCCCATCCAGTCCAACAGTCTGTGTCACACCTTGGTCAAAACCCAGGTGCCATCAGGAGGTCCACCAGCGTGGCCAGAACTCAAGAAGCCCTCCCACTTTGGCCCCCCCAAGCCCCAAGAATTCAGAGCATCCCTTGCCCCAGACAGAGTGTTCCATCTATACCTCTGCTCCATGTTTATCCGATCTCCTCTTGAAACTGCCTGCACTTGCAGCCACCCCCCACTTCTTGCAGCAGTGAATTCCATGTGTCAATTACTCTTTAAGTGAGTAACTACTTCCTTTTCTTTGTTCTAATCCTACTGCTCATTAATTTCATGGCATGCCAACGAGTTCTTGTATTGTGAGCAGTGTTCCCTCTAAGCTGAGTTAGTGTGAGCTAGCTCACAGTTTTTTAACCTCCGGCTCACACATTTTTGCCTTAGCTCAGGAAGGATGGCCTCCAGAGCAAACAAATTCATGCAGTAGCCAAATCGCCTGCTCACAACTTTAATGCCAGTAGCTCACAAAGCAGAATTTTTGCTCACAAGACTCCACAGCTTAGAGGGAACATTGACTGAGAGAAATACCCCAGATAAATGGGTTGTACTAAGAGAAGCCTAAAAAGGTGTGTTGTAAAAGAGAAAAAAGGAAAAGGGGTGATTGGATTGAAAAAGGGGTGGTAAAGGGCAAAACAAAATACAGGGAAAAGTACAAAGAGCAACAACAACACAATGAAAAGCAAAATTGTTGGACTAGCTAAGCTAAATACACCTTACCTAGGCTGTAGCAGGTTCTTCAGAGCATGCACAGAGTTCCTTGCACTAACAAGAAGCCGAAGGGGACCTTTAGCCCTACCTGACTTGTGAGCTACTGGCATTAAAGTTGTGAGCAAGTGATTTGACTACTGAATAAATTAGTTTGCTCTGGACCCACCCTTCCTGAGCTAAAACAAAAATCTGTGAGCTGGGGGCTAAAAAACTGTGAGCTAGCTCACACTAACTCAGCTTAGAGGGAACACTACTCTCAGTGTCTTCCCCATGTGTTAGACTGCATGGGTGCTTCTGAGTTTGTTAGAAGGCGTTCCCTAGGGTTTCTCTCCTGGCACTTGGTTACTGCTCTAGTACTGTGGTGGAAGCGTGCCTTCTTAGTAGGTCAGTCCAAATGTTCTTGAGGGGTCCCTGAGTGGTGGCAGCCAGTGGTCTCCAGGGAACCCTTGGACTAAGGGAGTTTCCCAGGAAGGAAACGGACAATTTTCCTCTTCCTACAGTAACAGTAATTACAACAAGAAACTGTTTTGTTCCAAGCATCTGGAATGTATTTTCCCCCAAAGGTACGTAGTGTCAGCTAGTGCTGCCATGTAATGGAATCTGGAGGGGGTGCTTGGCCTCCTCATCTCCTCAGTCTCTCTGCTCAACCCCCCCCCCGCGTGTCTCTTGATCTGCCTGGTGGCCTTGAAGGGCTGCCTCTGCCTAGAATGCTTTTCCGGCGGGGAACATAACAGCTGCTTTTATCCCGCGCTCACAGGTGCTTGCTTATTGGGCTTAACACATCAGGGGGTCTGGTTTGAAGGGGGTATAACTGTAACCACCATTTTGGTACCCGCCATTCCTGACATGAGAGCTCAGGGTATCTCCAGTACTCAATAAACAGAAACTTATGAAGGAACGTTGAGTGTTTGTTTGGAAGCCTGACATGTAGACGCTATTATGATCAGGGCTATTTTTGGGCAGGAACGCACAGGAATGGAGTTCCAGCTGGCTCCCAAGTTGGCCACGCCCAGCAGGAACTCATTAGCATAATAGGCCACACCCAACAGCAGAAACACATTAGACTTGGCTACATTAGGGGCGTGTGGCCTAACATGCAAAGGAGTTCCTGCTACAAAAAAAGCCCTGGCAAGGTCAACATAATAAGAAGCAAAAGGTGGGTGTGGCTGGATGACCACACTTCTGGTAACATGGGGGTGTGGCCTAGTATGCTAATGAGCTGTGCTGTCAGGGGTGTGGCCTAATATGCTAATGGGTTTCTGCTGTTGGGTGTGGCCTATTATGCTAATGAGTTCCTGCTGGGCTTTTTCTACAAAAAAAGCCCTGGTTATGATTAATATATCTCAGTAGCTCTATGTCATCATGTGTTTTCTCTATCAACCAATACTAATAGTACAACTATTATCAAGTGGGGGGGGGGGTGTCTGCAAAGATCCTTGACATTAAAAAAGGTGGTTTTCAGACAAAAAAAGGTTGGGAACCACTGGCTTAGAGGATACAGACAAGTATAAAGCCATAAGCTCTTCCCAGACAGCTGAGAAGCCCCAGGAAGTTCTTCTGGGAGATTGCTATGCATGTAGCCACTTCCCCCGGGATTTTATCGAGGGGGGGGCTAGGGGGACCCTAACCCTAACCCACAGTGCATACTTTATTTTTCATATTGACAAAATAGAGAGAATTCTTCCACAAAAAGCCTGGACAGAATCTGTCTCCTCACAGGCAACCTTTCAAAGGGCCGATGTGAGAGGAAGCCGCACAAGGCTGTAAATGCCCTGAAGGCAGAGCCACGGCAACCGAGTGGTGTGCCAAATAAAGCAGAAGAAGTAGTAGACACTACAGAATACCTTATTTGCACTTCCTGCTTCACTCTCGTCCCTCCTGATTGGTCTGTCAACTTAGGCGGCCAATCAGAACAGGTGCCACATAATCCTAGCAAGCAATGGTACCTAACACAAGGCTCGGGCATTAGCTGCATTCAGTACAAATAACTCTTCATATTGAGAACCAATATTCACAAAAATAGCAATTACAATAAGACAAGACAGACTAGACTGAAAGCCCCAGGTGAGACAAATGCTTACGCTTTCGACGGTGGGATCTACTCGAGCCCGTTTTTTCCTGGGAGGTTGAGGGTTTTCACTGGTACTGCTGCCTTCCCCGATCCCAGGATCTAAACGCACATAACGTAACAATCACGTCTGATCTTTTTAGCCGATAGTCAGGCAGCCACAGTTTAAGGAATTACATTGTGCAGAACTGGAAGTCTAGCCCAAACCACACACTGGTCCTAACGTCACACGAGCCCTTACAGAACAGCCACTGGAATGCTTTGGGTGGCGGCCTAGTTTCCAAGTGCTTGGCATCGCTTAGAGCTGCTTGATGGGCAGTTTTGAGGGCCAAATTGCTCAGTTAGATTGATTTAGAACATTTTTGGTCAACTGAAAAAGTACACCACTAATCAGGTACTACATTGAAGCGTTATTACTACAAACACTCAGAAACTGTGAGAGGCAAGTACCGTCTTGAAAGGCATTCCCCAGTTCTCTTGCACACAGGTGGACACAATTCTAGTTACTACAACATACACTTATACCTGAATATGCTTTTTTCCAAAACAGGACTCAGTGTGATCTGTGCCTGTACATATTATCCTGTTATATAACTTCTGTATCATTTAGTATGCCACATTAGTACTTAATATTTGCAGCTTTGTTCTAAACCTTCATTTGTTTTAATTTCCACAGCCCTAATCCTATTACGCTGATTACTGGAAGCCCCACTGCATTGATTGCATTGACTTACACTGTATAATCCACCGTGAGTCTCAGCTAAGGCGGACTATAAATACAAATAACTAAAATATTGTCAATAGCTTAAGGAAACATAGATGGCTGTGAATTAGCGAAAGGCATATGGTGCAGCCACCTTACAGAGGCTATTCCCACGTATGTGGAACTACTGATTTTTGTTCCATGAGGGAAGAAGAGACAGACACGAGTGCAGTCAGCAAAAATTTCATCTCTGCAGAACATCAATATGAGAGTCTTCCAGAGAGAAGTGTCCCCCTGAGATATACAGGCTAGCTTCAAAGACGTCACACATTTGCTTGCTCATGGCGAGCGTGACTGTGCTCACAGTGCTTCCACGACTGGCCCCCGCCCCCGGAATGTAACCGAAAGCTTCCGGTTTAAGAAGACTTTTCAGTCAAGTTCCGCTTTGCTGCAACCTCCAAGCACTGGCACCTGAACGAGGTGGAATTCGGAATCCAGGCTTGTAGGGAGGACACAATTAACAGTTTTATGTGAAGCTGCCCCAGACCTCAATGGCAGAACACCTTATATGAACTCCCGTAATTCCTTTGTGATCACAAACATATCTCTCAAGCGATACATATGATCTTGAAACTGGCTGCTACCAGCTTTTCAAACCAGTCATACAGTTTCCCTCCGCAAGCCACACATTTGCTTTGCCCGTCACTTCCGTTATAGAAGCGCCGTGCAAGGCTGGTTGAACAGTGAGAATCTCACAAAGCTGGTACAGGGACAGATTAAAAATGTAGAAGAGTCTTACTTTTCTGTTTGTTCTTTTTTGTTTTCCTGTCAAAAGAGAAGAGAACATTATTGCAAATGCAAGGGAAATCCCAGTCCTGCTCTCTTAAACCCCCATTTCATACCTTCAAGCTCAAGCACAAGACCTATTACAGCGCCAGCCAACAGCCATTTAACCAAGCAACTCCCCACTTGGGGTTCAAGGCTGGTCAGGCCCAATACTTCAAGGAAGGCTAGCCACGGGGAGAAGTGCTGACAGACAAAGAATATTAAAGAAGCAGCTTTGTGGATGCCAGAGAAGAGTGAGGAGAAAATGATTTCTTCCTTTGCAAAGTTAATAAACTGCACATCCCCTGCCCTGCCTACAGATGAATTAATCAAAAACTTATTTCAGCCACCTTGCAAATATTTTAAATTGAGAGTACAGTATATAAATATGTGAAGAGCGTGGTCCGATGTGGAGTTACTCCAGTTTAAGCTCACTTAAACCAACGTGCTTAGATTGGACTGCCACTGTGCGAAATTGTCCTGTCAATAAAATAACTGGCACTCAAAGAAAAGCCATCTTGCAGGAAAACTCCCTTGCCACCCCCACACTGGACAAAAAGAGACGCAGTTTCAGCCAAGGCTAGAAACTCCTGAGCAATATGGCAAAATCTCTCGTAAGCAGGGGTCATTTCCTGTGCGAGCGCACAGGAGTGGAGCTCCGGCATTAAGGAGCCCAGGGGGCGGGCACATGCAACAAGCCCCACCCCCTGCTCCCAGCAGCCCTCAGTCAGACCACGAGGAGCAAGCAGAAGCCAAGTAAATTGCAGAGCCCCCCCTGGCCCGCCTTCAGGTACGAGCTCTCCCTCCCCTGTGAGGGCAGATCTGCACGTGTCCCCCCCCATAGCTAGCAATCCAAAACAGTCCAGTGGCACCTTTAAGACCAAGTTTTATTTAGGTACAAGCTCTCCCTCCTCTGCGAGGACAGATCTGCACGTTCACCCCCCCCGGCAATAGCTAGCAATCCAAAACAGTCCAGTGGAGCCTGAGCAGTGGGTGTTGCCTTCTGACACACTTCCGGTGATGCCAGGGGGTGTGGTACATGCAAATGAGTTATGCTAATGAGCTCCTGCACCTCTTTTCCTACGAAATGACCCCTGCCTGTAAGGCAAGTGTTTATCACCCAGACCTGGCCAAGCCCTCCACCTCCAGGGCCCAGCATGGCAAAGGCAGAGTTTGCGGATGACATCGGTTGCCTCCCACAACTCCAGGGCTTCAAAGAGTGACACCCCCCTCAGCACCTCTGAGCTACTGGCAAATGTGCAGCAAGTGACAGAGGGTGGATCTCTTTTTAAGAACCCTTCGACCATGACTGAGAACCCCACAATAGCTGCTTGAGCAAGTGAGGAAACACATAATTCGTCCTCTTCTGCAAGCTCTGGGGAGGAGTGACAGCGCCCCAGTACAACCACATCGTATGGGAAGAGAGAGATGTTCAGCAACTACGCAAGGAAATCTGGGTGCTTCAGGATGAAGATCCTGGTGTGACAATCCATCCTTAACTCACCGCGTCGATATTGCAGGGGTCTCCAAACCGCAAACTGTATGCGCTCCATCTCGTCTGAAAAATCTAGGTACAATGGGGGGTTGAGTTAAGGAGAGTGTCAGACCTGACGTGCGGAGCCTTTAAGAGAATGCAGTTAAGCTTCAAAGTTACAACCTTATTCAACATAACCCTGGGAGGCAGGACGGTTTGGCTTAGACCGTGTTATTTCCATCTTCCCTTACCTTTGACCGTGTAGTGAAAAGACCAGCTAGACTGAGAGCTGGCATATCCCATCTATTCCTCCACGGAAACAGAAAGCCAAAGTAACACCAGGGTAGCCCAGCTGCCCTGCCCCCCTCCCAATAAACAAAACACTCAAAAACATGCCCAAGAGCCAGCTAGTTTGCTTCAAAGTCATACTGTTACAACGATGCAGCTCTTGACACTGGTTTCCTCAGTGGGGCTGTTTAGCAAGTAAAAGAACACACAGGAACCGTGCAGCACTCCGGAAGCCTAACAGAGTCTACGTGGAGGATTTGTTACCACCAGGCACCCCCACTCCAGGGAAACCTGCTGTGCCAGCATACCCTTCAGCTCAGTGTTCAAAAAAGATCCATTTGGAAAGGGGCTTCTTCAAAACCAAGTCAGGTCTGAAAGGGGGCCTTGAATCTGCGGGAAGCTGAACCCACTTGCCTGTTCCTCAACAGCTCACAAAAGGGCACACAGGTTTAACTGCTGACGTCCTATTAGAGTAGAAGGGAGTTAAGCAATTTATATCCAGGCCTAGAATTGGGAACCCCCTTCCCGCTGGAACCTAAATGTGAGGCCACTGCAGCTCACAGGTCTGTCTTGCAAAGCACCTGTTGACTCTCCCTTTCTACAGGTCTTTGTAAATTAAATCTGACACACTAATCAGTAAAGAAAAGCTGGCAGTGTCCCCATATGCACAATTTGGAGATTTGCAAATAGGCCCACCAGGATTTTCAGAACCTTTTGTCCTTGAGAGAAAAAACAGTGAAAAAGAGAGACATGGAGAGTTTCTTACACGTCAACATTTTTCTGCTGGAGACCGGATGCCTTCTTGCCTGGAGCAGCCCCTCTCATCTTTCCTTCTGCATACTGTTCCCTTGAAAAACAAGTTGAGCAAAAAGATTAGAGGCGTAGCCACACCTTTCTACCCTGGAAATGGGCTAAAAAGCATGCTAATGAACTCTCATAAATCTGGAGTTCTTATGACTAGCCACTGGATGAACTGGATGCGCGTAACTGCCAGGCAAACATTGCCTACTTTTTCCTTTTGTTACTTAGCTGGGTCTCAACTCATGTTGACAGATACTTGCCCCAATGGCCCCTGCCTCTCTGCCCCTCCCACTCTTCATCCTTCACTCACTAACCTTATAGCCATCTTCCAACATACAGCTCCCTGTCACTCATAAGCTCAAATCAAATATCACTGATCAATCCATTCGTGACGAGCACAAACCTACCGTGTTTCCCCGAAAATAAGACACTGTCTTATATTTATTTTTTCTCAAGAAGACACACTAGGGCTTATACCACAAATCCATAGAAATCCTCCTAGGGCTTATTTTTTGGGTAGGCCTTATTTTTGGGGAAACAGGGTAGTTTTGATTTTTTTTTGTGTTTGTATGTGTGCGCATGTGCATTTATCTGCACCTGGAAGTCATGTTGACCTCTGGTGACCAGCCCCTACTGGGGGACTGGAGGATATTCAGACGGGTGGCTGAATAACCAACACAGCTGACCACCAGGAACTATCTGTCCTCCCAAGTTGTATTCCAAGGAAGTCTCCCATCCAAGTACTCACCACAGTCGACCCTGCTTAGCTTCCGAGATCTCACGAGATCGGGCTTGGCTGAGCTGTCCAGGTCAGGGCAAACCTAGTTATTTGTTATGCTTGTGCATCCCTCCTCTCGCCCCTTGTGTGGCATGCAGAGACCAAAGATTTCAACTAGATCCGAGCAGCCATGGTGTCGGGAGTGTGGGCCCCTCCACTAATTTAGGTTTGTTTCCTTCTTGGGTTTCACAAGAGACAAGGGGGAGGGAGCACGCAGGTTCACATTAATCACAAGACACCTTTATTTGAAACATCCAAGGTGAACTTTAACGTATGCCTTTCTGCAATCCAAATGAAAGCACATACGAGAAGAAGGGGATCAGTGTGCAGTCACCTGTTCACTGTCTCATAGAGGCCTAAAGGTCATCATCCAATCCCACAACTTGCGAAGGAAGAGGACGGAAAGACCAGTGCAAGCCCCAGGTACACAACAAACATAAGACACCGTTGAAAATACTTAATTGTTCAAGGAATAAGGAAAATTATTTTTCAGAAACCATGAAAATCCCATGATTAGAACCAAAACCTAGCCTCTTGATGTTGTACAATAAAATTCTAAGAACACTGTTTTAATGAACATCAGTAAATTTCCAAAGGCAGCAGCCAAAATGATAAAACCTCATGACACTTCAAGCTTTGCATCTAACAAAGAGGGTCATGGCTCACAAAAAGCTGATGTCACAGTATAAGTCTTCAAAACTCCGCAAGACAGATGCACAAATACTGTACAGCAGGCCTCTATTATCCCGTCAGACAGGTTTTAATCATCATTCTTCTACTGGTTGAAAACTGCACCAGGCAGTCAAAAATGAAGCTGCTATCATTGTACTTTCCTCATACTGAGAAATACACAGAGTCGCTTAGGCAACACTATCACCAAGTGAAGCCTTGGCAGACATCTCGAAGCAGAGGGCAGAAACAGTCTGCCAAACCGCACACTAGACTGAAGTCAAACATGGACTCTGATGGGACTGAAGAATGTAGAAAAAGTGTGTTGTACTAAGGGAAGAGCCACAAAGGATGTGATGCATGGAATTTTGTCTTTTGCTCACCAGGCACGTGCTCATAAGTTACCCTTCGTTAAATGATTAAAATCAGGAACTCCGAAGCTTCAGAGCTTTAGTGACACAAGAGATTTTTCTTCGTGACAATGAAGATCCAGACCCCTCTGATCTGGACATAAACTGGCACACGGAGAACATACTGGGCAGAGGGGACAAGAGCGTCTTTCCCTATTCTCCTTGCCCCGGGCACCTCTGAGGATATGTCAGGTGTGCAGAACATGCTCTCCCAGTTCTCCTGGAGACCAGCAAGTGACATGCTTCCTATTGTAAAGAGGGGCACCTTGCATCCGAGAAGCCTGTGGGAATTCAGAGATGACAGGTGGTGACAGGGGTGGGGTTCATTTTCTTTTTGGCTCTGGCACCGGCCTGGTGGAACACTCTCCTGAGTGAGATCAGGGCCCTGAGGGATCTGCTTCAGTTCCACAGGGCCTGTAAAATGGAGGTGTTTCACCAGGCCTTTGAAGCAATAGGTGTCTCATCATTTTGGCCTCCCCTGCTCTCCCTCCCCCCCACATAGCTTATTCAGTAACTCTGGGGCGTGTTCGCCCACCACCCTCTTGAATCTTGGGCATTTTATAGACCTGTGAGCCCTCGCGGGATACTAACATTTTTAAATTATTGAACCGCAGAATGTTTTTACTGCTTTATCTGTATTCTTAGTATGTTGTGAGCAATGCTCCATCCAGCTAAGCTGTGGAGTCTTGTGAGCAAAAATTCTATTCTGTGAGCCACTGGCATTAAAGTTGTGAGCGAGCGATTTGGCTACTGAATAAATTAGTTTGCTCTGGAGCCATCCTTCCTGAGCCAAGACAAAAATCTGTAAGCCAGAAGCTAAAATATTGTGAGCTAGCTCACACTAACTCAGAGGGAACACTGGCTGTGAGCTGCCCTGAGTCCTGCATGCATGGAAGGGCGTGATAAAAATCCAAACAATAAATTAATAACTTTACGCCTCCAGGATGCAAGGCGGAGCAGCAGAATTTACCTGCCACCCCTTACATAAAAAAAAGCAAGACCCACCAGTGCTAAACACCACACACACATTTCTCACAAGCTCACTACTAATAAATGATGCTTACTGATTGGCCTTCTGAAGTTCTTTCTGCTTCTGCAGATTGGTGTCGACGTATTTGAGCACTCTGCTCTCTGGAACCCATTCATCCCAGCTGGAAAAGCAGAAGGGACACAGTTTTAAGAGCTGATGCCCAGCTGGCAAACTGACAACTTCCACAAAACCAGCTTTGCTTTGCGACCACGTGTGGTCTCACAGACCCATAAGCGACCCACCTCCTGACAGAAACAGTCTTTTCTCCAGCAGCAGGGGAAGAACTCAGAGCCTGTATGGTTTGCAAGTTTTCACAGCCTACGTGTTTTGCCCAAAGAGTTTGGGCTGACGAGCCCACCGTAGCAGCGAACATCTAGCCCTGATTGAGCTAGTCAGCGATCCGCTGCTCTCCAAAGGCCTCAGGGAGAGGTCTTTCCCAGCTCCGTTGCCCTTTCGCTTGGCAATCAGAGTGGACGGATAATTGAACTTGGATACGCTGTGCATGGAGAGTGAGGCTCCCCCCCACAGTACAGCCGCGGCCTGCCAGTAAGGCACCCTTGGCAACCTTGGAAGGGCTTCTTCACCTTACCGAGGGAGCAAGCAGCGCCAGCGAAAGGATTCTGGGCAACTGAGATGAAGGGAGATGCTCTGCCCACTCTCTGCTGTGGGAAATGGAAGAAGGCCTGCCGGGGTGCATCCTTCTAGGCTGTGCAGGTGAGTGGCCGCTCATTAACACAGGAAGCCCTGCTCAGCAGCAATATGGAGCCGCACACAATACTGCACTGCCCGTTGCCCGTTTTAAGATTACAGCGGTCATATTCTGCTCACGATATGAACCTCTCTGCTCAGTAGGGATAAAGAAATTAGAGGGAACATTGGCTGGTACCCTCGGCCACGGCCTGGGTGAAGAAGAGATTGGATTTATACCCTCCTAGCCGAAGGAGTCTCAGAGCGGCTTACAATCCCTTCCCTTCCCCATGACAGACACCCTGTGAGGTAAGTGTGGCCAAGAGAGCTCTTTCGAGGACTGCCCTTGAGAGAACAGCTCTGAAAGAACTTGTGACTGACCCAAGGTCACCCCAGTAGCTGCAGGTGGAGGAGTGGGGAATCAAACCCGGTTCTCCCAGATTAGAGTCCGTACTCCTAACCACTATACAAATCTGCTCAGGATGTGAACTGCTCCGCTTGGAGGGGGGGGGGGGAATCAAAGGGAACAGTGACTGGCACCCCTGGCCATGGCTGGGGGAGGAGGAGGAGATTGGATGTATACCCCGCCCTTCACTCAGAGTCTCAGAGCAGTTTACAATCCCCTTCCCCTCCCCATGACAGACACCCTGTGAGGTAAGTGTGGCCAAGAGAGCTCTTTTGAGGACTGCCCTTGAGAGAACAGCTCTGAGAGAACTTGCGACTGACCCAAGGTCACCCCAGCAGCTGCATATGGAGGAGTGGGGAACCCAGATCAGAGTCTGTGCCTCTAACCATGACACCAATCTGCTCATGACCTGAAGTGCTCCACTCAGTGTGTGTGTGTGTGCAAATCAGAGGGCACACTGGCCAGCACTCGGCCACGGCCTGGATGAAGAAGAAGAGGAGACCGGATTTATACCTCGCCCTTCACTCGGAGTCTCAGAGCGGCTTACAATGCCCTTGAGAGAACAGCTCTGAGAGAACTTGCGACTGACCCAAGGTCACCCCAGCAGCTGCATATGGAGGAGTGGGGAACCCAGATCAGAGTCTGTGCCTCTAACCATGACACCAATCTGCTCATGACCTGAAGTGCTCCACTCAGTGTGTGTGTGTGTGCAAATCAGAGGGCACACTGGCCAGCACTCGGCCACGGCCTGGATGAAGAAGAAGAGGAGACCGGATTTATACCTCGCCCTTCACTCGGAGTCTCAGAGCGGCTTACAATGCCCTTGAGAGAACAGCTCTGAGAGAACTTGCGACTGACCCAAGGTCACCCCAGCAGCTGCATATGGAGGAGTGGGGAACCCAGATCAGAGTCTGTGCCTCTAACCATGACACCAATCTGCTCATGACCTGAAGTGCTCCACTCAGTGTGTGTGTGTGTGTGTGTGCAAATCAAGAGGGCGCACCGGCCGGCACCCTCGGCCAGAGCCAGGGCAAGCCTAGGGGGGCCCCCAGCCCAGAGAGCCAGGAACGCCCCCCTCCCCTCCCCCTCGGGGGGGGGGCCACTCACTTCTTATTCCAGCCGCTGTAGTGGATGAAGTACTTCACCTGCTTGTCCTTGATGGCCACCTTCACGCACTGCCAGGGGGGAAGGAGAAGAGACAGGGGGGGGAGTTCAGCGGGGGGTGTCTGGCCCTCGCTGACAACCCCCCCCCTCAGCCGGCCCCCCCACCTACCTTGGCCTCGTAGAGGAGCGGCCCATGGAAGCACAGCACCCGCTCGCCTTGGGGGGAGGGAGAGAGACACAGAGAGGGAGAGAGAGAGAGACAGAGAGAGAGACAGAGAGAGAGAGGCCGTTCAGCGGGGCTGCCGCGCCTCCCTCCCGGCCCCGCCAAGGCCCGCCCCGCGCCGCCGCCGCCGCCCTCACTCACACACACACGCACGCGGCGGAGGAAGCGCGGTCCGGGCGGAGGAGGAGGCGGCCCACGGTGGGTGGGTGGGTGGAGAGGGGGGGTGTCCCGGCCTGAGGGGAGCCCCGCGCCCGCCTTTTGGGGGGGCGGCTGTGCGCATGCGCGGGGGGAGGCCGCGGGGGGCCCT